GGGGAGGAGGCCGCGATTGTCCTAATCCCGTACGGCGGCATGATGGATAATATTTCCAAGTCGTCAATCCCATTTCCTCACCGGGCCGGGAATATGTACGCGATGCAGGATTACGTGTCTTGGCGAGAGGACAATGCTCAGAATTCAGACAGGTACATAAGATGGATTAGGAGGCTCTATAGCTACATGGCTCCTTACGTGTCAAGTTCGCCTCGGGCCGCTTATGTTAACTATAGAGATCTCGATATTGGAGTTAACGGCAATGAAGGGATGATCGGTTATGCGCGGTCTAGCATTTGGGGAAGGAAGTATTTCGGGAATAATTTCGACCGGCTTGTTCGGGTGAAAACCGCGGTGGATCGAGACAATTTCTTCAGGAATGAACAGAGTATTCCATCGTTATATGAAGAGATAGATGAGTGAGGAACATGGTTTAATGTAACTCAGTTCAATTCACATGCATGCGTATGTGGAATTTGTCTGTTATTATTGATAATTTATCCATCACAAATTTGCATATCATTAATAATTCATGTATCATAATTTAGTTATATGATTATGATACCTCTCTATGGACTTATTTTCAGAATTTACCTGTTACTAATTTGTGTATCATAATTCATGTATCTGATTTAAATTTTTTTCCTTCGTTTACTTCTGTTAATCTTGGTTTGAGTTGTGTTCCCTTTGTTTTATTCTTCAAATTTGTGTACGTGTAATTGTACCGATCTTGGCTAAGTATTTATACATATAGTTATAATAATTAAACAAAATAAATCAATTAATTCTCGCGAATTTTATCAAATATCAACGAATGAAGTTCGTGTTCGTTCGATGACAAAAGAATCTAGTTTTTTATTTTTTATTTTTTTCAAGATCGACTCGATTAATAAATGAAATTACTTTTATCGAAGATGAACGACTTCCAACTACCTTTTATTGGCGAACAACCGATGACTAATTCAATTTGAGTACCTTTACAAGATAGACCTCAACAGAAAACTGAAAAATAATGACATTAAGTAATTGAGTTCATTAAGTTCCTCATATCAAATTATTGAATCTTAGAATATATTTCATCTTTCTGCAGAATACAGAACAAATATTCACAAGATACAGTACATTGCAATTTTCAATGTTAGACTTTCATCTTGGAGAAGTTTCTATACATATTTATCCATGTATGGAGGCTTGAATCAGCAAGGTAAATATTTATTTATTTATTTATTTATTTTTTTTTTTTTTATTTTTTTTA